TATAGCCATATAGGTACTAAAATAAGTTCACATCTGATTACCATAATCCGTTTTATAGTTGTTTCTTCAAATACATATAGTTGGTGCAATAATTGTTAAACATGAATCTATTGCCTATTGTATTATTATTTAATAATATATATTTTTTGGATTTTGAGTATTTATACTGTCCCAAAAAAGCAAGGTGATGATAAAAGGAAAATCCCATAATTTTAAGATCAGTTATATCTACATGTTTTACTTCAATAATAACCTATTATATATGATATAAAATTTCTAAACGTAACGTGACTCATCAAAAATATTATCAAAACCCATTTTTGAATCTTGACTCACAGTTTATTGGGAACCTCTATTTTAACAAGGTACTAAATAATATTAGGGTGTTAAGAACAGTAGAAATAACTTCAAMCATTTCGATTTTAAATTTATAATGATAATATTATATGATGTCAAATAATGACAATGGTTTTTAAGTATTTTTGTATATTTTAAATTTTTGTCTAATGATTATGATGTACCTATGTAAAAGAAAATACAAACAATGAAACAACAACATTAGTGACTCTTTATGAATTATGACTATATAATTACCAATACATAGATAATTGTAATGGCAATAAATTATTACATAATGTTCAACAATTACGATATAATAGTATGAAAAAAGTGGTAAACTAGTAAATATGTTTGTGAACTCAGAACTGTTAATACACCTACTTATTAAATAAACATAATATTTATCATTTATATTATAATATGACTACTTTGATGTTTGTATAGATAGTAGATACCTACCTATAGAGTATAGACTATTGTTAATTCAGTATTTTATTAGGTATTCACTTTTACAATTTTTAACTAGATATTAACACTCAATACAATCCAAAAATCTAATGTTCTAGGTATGATAAAAGTAATTAATAATAATATACAATTATTAATTAATTAATATATAATTGTTGTACTTAAAACATMATTTCATATTATCTATGTTAACTACAGTATAATTATGAAAATTCAAATTTATTTGGGTAATTAAAAAAAAATTATAATCTACAAATTACAATCTATGTGTAACTTGCAAATTCAATTAAATGTTGGCATGTGATGTATTCTACTTTCTACTAAATACAAGTAAGTATTAGAACGTATATCTAAAATAGTAAAATAGTAATACCTATCTGTAARTATAATATACATAAATCTATGATGTTTAAACTTAACCATATTTTCAAATTCCTGAATTTTTTGTAATCCTTAACTACTTGAGGAATAATTATATGAGACAAACTTTGTGATACAAACTTCTATTACGAACCCCCTTTTTTTACTGAAAATTATTTAATGGGCGATTTTCTTAAAAACGTTGATGTATCTAAATCAAAATTCTAATAAGTAGGTAGTTCCCGAGTTATTAAAATATATGTTCTATAAGGATATACTTTTTWAAATTGGTTTTACAAAAATATAAACTTCGTATAATATTAGATGTAGTATTTATTATACTTGGATATTTTTTACAAATTAGATAGATCAATAATAGTTACTGACATTTTTAAATAATCTAAGCACCCATATCTACTTAATCTATTAGCGATTACTATAGATATATCATCCATAGTACACAAAGYTATATAACAATCCACGACTACTTGTTCGAATTTCAATTTTGATACATCTAACCAATAATTGAAAAAGGGATTCCTGTTTGAAAACAAAAGTTTGCATTGTCAAAATATCACACCTAAGAGTGGGACAAGCAAATATCATGTAATCAAAAATATGGTTAAAATGGTTTCAGAGAATTCAGAATTTCATATGTATTTAAAAATTCTAAATATCATGATTTGAATACCATAGGTAAATATCAAAATGTAAGACTAAAAATAAGGTTTACGTAAACACGAATATTATTTGAGGGTGCTAGACCCCTCCCCCTATTGGCCCTATTTGCACCTATGGTTTCTCGTAAGTAGATAATTACTAGTTAATATAGTTATTAGTAAAGACCCGTACAATTGCATCTTTTTATGGCGTGTTCTAAATTCTATTGAAACAATAACTACAAATCCGAATCAAGAAATGTATAGATTAACTCAAAGAAAGTTTTAAGTTGCGCAAAATTGCACGTTTCGGGATTCATGAAAATGAACTATTTTTTTATAAATAGTACTTTTGTATTATTTTTATCACTGCTAATTATGCAGTTATATAAAAAATTGGATTTTTATATAATTGTTCTATAATATAATAAAAATTAAATATATCGATATAATTCGACTTAATTACGATAATGACTACTACGGACCATGTCTTAAGATAAGTTGATGTTAAGCATACTAGCATAGAGCAATAATCTTACATGCACTACATTTTACTACCAGTTACCACAGAATAGGATATTACCTTTGATCATTATAGATCTAAGAATACTACAATATCTTATTACCGTTTGGCTGTACGGTTTTTCAATATTTTTCATACACGTACCGTGCACACTGTTAGTCATATGGTTCACAGTATTTACTATCTAGTTATTTACAAATTACGATTTTGAACAGCTGCAGTCGCAGCTGTTGATCGCGTACGGTATCGTATTATCGGTATATTTTATTCGCTGTTGTCAGAACCAGATTAGCAGAACTCAGAAATTAGAAATCAAAATGTCTTCGGACTAGATTACTAGAACAACTTGTTAGATTAATTTAATTACAAATTTAAAAACATTAGAGGAAAAAAAATCATTAACTCTACGTCATAGTTTTTAGTACACTCTGAGACTGTAACCGTGCAGTATTTCTAGTATTATTATTTATTATCTTATATTGTTATTGTTGCTCCTACGAAGCTACTAAGTTATATATCTACCTGTTACAGGAAAGTACATCATATTATTAAAATAATATATTCCCTGATATCGCGATCGAAAATGATTTTCGTCAAATGTCTGTGAACCCTAGCCCGTCGGATCGTAACCCCTGATACCTTTATTATTTTTTTATTGAAATGGAAACCGTCAATTGGAACTCTCTTCCCAGCCTTGCTCTACATCAAATATTCACTCATTTGTCACCCGAATCCAGGGTGGCCGCTTCGTCCACTTGCAAACACTGGAGGACTGCTCTTTACCATCCACAGTTTTGGCACACTCTGGTGCTAGACATACCTGCTCCTGGAACTTCATACGCTGAAGTCAAGTCCAAAGTGAAGCATGCCAATAAGAACTTAGTGACATTAGTACGTGACATCCACCTTGCATTTGATTCCCGGAGCACCCAGTGCTTTGAATTGGCTTCTTCTGTTATCAAGGCATTGATGGGCAATCAACTGTTGAGAAACGTTGACATTGAACTCAACCACTGTGAGTTATCAAAGGACGAAATGTGAGTAGCTTGCCATCTTGAACACATGTCAGACGATTTAAAATTTAGAGTTTTAAACCTCTTTTTTACTAACTGGAAAATGTTATCAGATTTCAGTACAGGTGGTCAATTCAAAACTATTTTGAGTTTGCTATTCTCAATGTTGTGCAAAAAGGAAACATTGAAGGGTTTAGTTTTGGATATTTTATGTTTTACTATTGGAATGCTTTGATTCATATGCTATCCAAATATAGCTGTGATAGCTTACAGCGTTTGGAACTAGCTGGATTGGGACCATCAATTTTTAATGAAGAGAGTAAAACTACATGTTTTAATTCAACTTTTGATAGTATGTCGTCGCTAATCAATTTAAAGGTCAGTTATTAAATTATTTTCATAATCTGATTAGGTTTTGATTACTTATTAATAATAATGAGCATTTTTATTTCAGAAATTAAGTTTAGATCTAAATTCCAATACGTGCAAATTGCTTCCAGCATTGTGTTCAATGTCTCAATTGGAAATCCTTGTTTTACATGTTCATAATGAGTTGGATATAGATATAAGTGATGATATTTGGGCAGATATTAAAAAATACTGGTAACTATCAATTTTATTTATTTTGTGTTATACCTATTTAGGGTCAAATGGGGTAATTGTAAATCGGGGCATTTGTAAATAATAATCATAAGAAATTAACCAATCATTTTTAATGTATTTCATATTAATAACATGAAGGTATGAACGTCAAAGTATAATATTTGGGGCTAATGTAAATTTGTGTGTATTGGGTCTATCAAAACGTTAAATAAAAGGTAATACAGGTTGTTTACTTATGCCCCAGATCCAGATTCTATTTCACTCTTATAACGTGAAATCATTGTTTACATTTACCCCAAATAAATGGGGCAAATGTAAATGAATGGGGCATATGTAAATTATTTTTTTTTCTTAAGTGATTTAATATTCTGGTCTTGTGTAGGAAATTTTATAAGCCTAGGATATGTTTATGAATGGTTTTGATGAGAAAGAAAATGTATTGTTAATTATAATTTAGAAAATAAAAAAAATATTAAAAAGTAACAAAATTTATTTACAATTACCCCATTTGACCCTATATTCAAGCCATATATGATGTAATATCACAATAATTATATAAAACACATATTTATTATAACTTGTGACAGTGGCGCCGAACCCTATGTTAAGGTCGGGCCATGCCCCGACATATTTTGAATATTTATGATAGGGTCGCTTCATATTGACCATTTTCCTCTCCACRRTWTGCCATTTTTTCCGATATTAAGATGTTGGGCCTYTTGAAATATTTTTCGCCCTACTAGATTTTTAGGATTTCGGCGCCACTGACTTGTGATAATATATTATTGTAAAAATTGTTTACAAAATGAATTGTTATTTTAAAAATATTTTTGTTAATTGTTTTTACAGCCCTAAACTTGAACTAAGATTAACAATTATCAACTGTCATATTGTTGCTAAGCACTTACATACTAAGTTACTTCGTCCATCAATGCCTTTGACACATCTCAAAGTTCTTTTTTGTAATATGGTGAGTTTCTCATGATACATTCTTTTAATACATTTAACTATTTACTATATTTTATAAATCTATAGATGAATATTGAAGTATTACATAAATTACTGGACTATAGAAATACATTTCAATCATTAATCTGGGTTGATGAACAATCAATGAATCCTGCTGGCTTACTTAAAGGACATTGGCATCTTGAACCATCTGCTGATGATATTGAAACTAATCCACTGATAATATTATCATGGGTCTGCAGCAAACTTACAGAACTTGTTGTATTGGGTAAATTTGTCAATTTATTATTTAGAAAAGTTTATTATAATAACATTTAATGATATTTTAAGTTCCAAAATTACTAGTTATAAGAAATTATTTAGTTTAGACCTTAAAAAAAATTACATACACAAAATKTGTATCCTATTACTAGGCTGGGATTTCAATGCACTATTATATACATGGTTTTCCAGAGCTTACTATTTTCTCAAATTCGTTTTGTGTACTTTTGTTTGAGGATAATGAATAACAAAGTTTATTTTGCATTTTTGGAAATAATATATGAATTTGAAATTTTTTTTAAATTATCAGCAAGATTTTTTAAACATATGTAGATAATAAAGTAGGTCCTCATAATTCCTATTATATTATCAAATAACAGTTGAAATCTCAAAACCTAGGTAATGAGTCTAAGCAACTTTTAAAGTAAAATAAATTTATGAAATCTAGCTATATTTATCATTTTTTTAAATTTATACCATTAATATTAATACTAATCTAAAAAAAAACATTTTCAATTTTTGCATTTTTTAGGGCATTCAAATTCTAGCCCTGCTTACTAAAATATTTAATTTTCCCTTTAAATTGTCATAAAAATGTCTTTTTTATTAAAATTTAGTAAATAGTAGTCAATTATTTTAGGATACTTGATTGAACCAGTGGACGTATGTGGAATCGCAAGACTGAGGGGTTCTAATTTAAAGAGGTATGAATTATTAGAAGAAGATATTTGCTTTCATCAACCACAAAGTGAAATGATATATGATGAAGTTATTTTAGTAAGTATTTTCAAATTCAACTATTTATTTATTTATTAATTAATAATTTATTTATTTAATATAAACGGACGTGATTCCTAAAACATAATAATATTAACATTATGTGTGAAGAATGAAGATAATACATAATATGATAAGTTATAGTTTTTAGTTTTTTACTTTGTTGTATCAACTGTTGGTAACCAGTAAAAACAAGAAAAACATTCCATTTTTATCAATTTAACTGTTGGTTTTGAAAAATCTTTGATCAAATTAAAAAAAAAAAAATTAATTCTGTAAAAGTATAAATTTTAAAGTACTTTCTAATTTAATAATAATATAGTTTCTTTAAAAACAATATGTTCATTTTTTCTGAAAAATGTCCTCTTTAATAAAAATTATTGATTAATTAATCATCCGTCTTCCAAAATGTATGCTTATGAGCTTATGTAACAAAATAATTACTGTATCATATTTTTGTGACTAATGACTAATGGTTAATATTAATGTTCCACAACACATATTGACTTATTAATTATTATAACTTATAAAGTATAGATATATTATTTCTTCGGTTTTTTGTTTTTTAATACTCTGTATGTATTTTAAACTTATTAATTTTAAAATATTTAAAATATCTTAAAAGTTAAAATATTAAAAAAGCTTTTGAAAAAAACATAGATTATAGTAATCATTAATAATTATGTTTGTTGTAATAGGTCATAGTCTTTTAATATTAACTATTTAGCTGCTATGGGGGAAAATACCTTCTGTGTGTGCTTTTAAACTTTGAATATATTACTTATATAGTTAATAGTTATATATAATACGAAAGAGACATAAAATTGTACTTTCGTGATAGGTAACTTAAAATATATTATAGTTTAAGATAATCATTATTGAAATATTGGCTACAATTTGTTTGTCCATTTGAAGTAGCTATTAGTTTATTTTATTAAGGCTATGCATTATAATAGACAGTAGTTATATTATAACGAGAAATAAAAATTATATTTTCTAAATGCTTTCAGGATGTATCAAATTGGATGGATACAAATTGGAAACCTTTGAATAA